TCCTCTCTCCTCAACACCCAAGTTTCACCACCATATACCATCGCTGCTCTCACACATGTCCATACCACCGCAATCTCGATCTCCTTATCAATGTCACAATGTCCTCATTCAGTCCTATCATTGACATCAGCTCTGTACTACTCCTCCTATCCTTCACTTTAACCCCACACATCATCCTCACCATACCCTCCCTTTCATCTTCACTGACCATTTCTTTCCACACAATACCCCACCCAGTTCCCTAAATTTCATCCATCCCACACGAACTCTAGCCGTAACTGCGCTCAAACATCCTCCATCCGCATTCAGCTTATCCCCTAAGTAAACAAAGCTTTCCACTCTTTCAATACCACCACTCAATACGTCCGTCCTATTAATCACACCATGAACACATTTCTTACATTTGAACGTGCCTTCCACCTTTTTCAGTGCCCCCCTCACACCACTACATCTCTTATGCACCCATTTCTGACATCCTATACACAATACCGAGTTAGCCTTCACTCTCCTATCACAAACCCCACAGGGGTCTATTTTACTTATCACTCGCTCCCCACCTTCCCCACTCACCATTACCTTCGTCTTACCAATATTAACTTTTAACCCTTTCTTTTCAATAACACTTTTCCATCTGTCAAATTTTAACTGCAATTCTTCCATGCTATCAGCCATCAAGACTAAATCATCTGCATACACAATCTCAAATAACAACCCCTCCATTATGTTTCCACACACAACATCCATCACAATTGCAAACAGAAACGGTGATAACACTGATCCTTGATGCACTCCTACCTTAACACTAAAAGCGTCCGACATCCCCCTTCCAACCCTCACCTTTGTCTTTGCCCCTTCATACAGCTGCATCACAGCTTTAACAAGTCTCTCATTCACTCCTTTCTTCCTCAACGCCCATTCAATGACCTTCCATGGTACTCGATCAAAAGCCTTTTCTAGATCCACAAAACACATGTACAATCTTCGTTTCTTCTTTCTATAATTCTCCTGCAACATTCTCACCATGAACAACGCATCCACCGTTCCCCTACCAGGCATAAACCCACACTGCATTTCATTAACTGTCACCATACTTCTCAACCTCCTCTCAAGTACCCTCTCCACTACCTTCATTCCGTGCTCTAGTAATTTCACACCCCTGTATGACCCACAATCTCTCACATCTCCTTTGCCCTTATACAACGGCACCAACACACTGTGTCACCAATCCTCAGGTATACCTTCATCATCAAACATGCTGTTAGCAATTCTCATCATAACTTCAATTCCTATCACCCCACTCGCTTTAATATGTTCTGCCGCCACTTCCGAACCCCCTGTCGCCTTACCTAGTTTCATTTCTCTAACTGCTTTCTCTACTTCCTCCATCGTCACCTTCTCTATAGGTCCGTGTGTGACCGCGGATTCCACATCTCCATCCCACTCATTCTCTTCATTCATCAACCTTTCCATATGAGCTTTCCACACCTGAGCTTTTTCCTCCTCATCTATGCACAACTTGCCAGATCCATCCCAAACACATCCATTCCCTATAACATCTTTCCTATCCCTCATTGACTGCTTTGCTACTTTGAACATTTTCGAAGTACATATTGAAAATGAAAATGAATTATAAGAAAAGTTTTAAACCGTCGCAATTGCAAAAGTATCTCCGTGTTTTCCTCGTTTGCTAAAATCTTGGCGAAAGGCATAAGATGGCACATATATATTATATATATATATATATATATATATATACACACACATAAGTGTCAACGCTGCGATTGATACTATACGAAAGTCTTTCAAAACAGAAATAGAGTTCGGTTTTGCTACGAAAACATATGGGTCACCATCCTATGTTCATCTAAACGGAAGTTGAATTGAGCAAACGGAATTTTTTAAATATTTCGGATCCCTTGTCCAGGAAAGGAAAGTGTCATCTACAGCTGATGTACATGCAAGAATTGGACAGGCCACTTCAGCCTTCGTTTTGATGTACGGACCATATATTTTTTTTAAAGTTTTGGTCGAAACCAAAATTCTAGTTTTGGTCGAACATTAAAGCAAATTAGTCATGGTTTCCTTTTTGTTCAACATCTACTTTTTTATGCTGTCTGTTGCTTCTTAGTTCTCACTATTGCAACTTGAATGAGACTTATGGAAAACTTTTCAACACCGGATGTCTACCACCTACTCTTTCTATGCCTACTTAAATTCCGTACCTATTGTATTTGCAGCGATGTCGCCAACCCATTCGATTTCCTTATTTAAATTATTTCCTTCTTTTTCAAATTTAAAATGTTTTACAATGTTTTGCCATGAAAATATTCTTACCCCATCTTCCCAGACTTGACCATACGATCCGATATACAACAATTTCACACCATCCTCTGCACTCAGCTTTTCAACTTAATTTTAGCACTCCTATATATATACGTGGTTAAAAAAGCAAAATAAAACTTTTGGCACAAGGAAAGTAGTTTTTTTTATAACAGTAATTTATCGTCACCTTGTTACAAGCAGGACAAGTAATCCTAGAGTAGTACTGTCCTTGAAATAAATCGACTATTATAGAATCATTTCTCAATAAATGTCTATCCCATGAAATTGACGATGCTACCTGGTAGTAAAATATTCAATTAAAGCCAAAAACTTTCAATGGGCAAATAAATTTTTTTTAAATGGGTAAATTGGGGAAAAATTGATATCTAACAGTACTCAAAAACTGAACTATGAGAATTAAGCTTTATCTTATCTACCACAGATTAATTAACACGTAATAACTACCAGCAAAAATACACTTTTGTCAGCTACAAAAAAGATTTTCAATTTAAAGTTTGGTAACGTCTTTTACCTAAAAATGTTTGACAAGTAAATATTATAACGATAGGTTTTTGGTAAAAATACCAAAAAGGTGAAATGTTCAAACAATAATAAACTTGAGCAAAAATAATAATCCGGAACCGAGTAAGTAAATCGATTTAAATCAGTTGAGATCTATTAAATCAACAATCACAGATAGTGTGATCGAAAAAATAGTTGTTCGACGAGCTCGAATGCTTTGAATCTAATGGTGAGAAACATCTGAAGCAAATACATAGGTCTCAGCCCCTAAACAAAACACAATAATATAGGGAGTGTAACAGGTTCTTTACGGCTTCTATCAAAAGACTTGAAATTTGATGTGTAGAAACAGAAAATAAGTTTTCTTGATATTCAAATAAATCGAGATAGAATACAAATTAACAAAATATTGTTCAATTATTAAGTTAATGTATGTATTGTCGTTTGGGGTGACAAACGTGCTTTATTACTACGGTATAGACTGTCACGTTGTTGTGCGAGTGTTGTTGTTGGAATAACTGACGCCACGATGTTGCTGGATAAGAGTTGTTGTAGCTGCTGTAGTTGTGGTGGTTGTTATCACTACACTGTTGTGTTGGAGTTGTTGTTGAAATAAATGAAACCACGACACTATTGTGTTGGAGCTGTTGTTGAAATAACTGGTTGTTGCAGCGACTGTAGTTGTGGTGGTTGTTATCACTACACTGTTGTGTTGGAGTTGTTGTTGAAATAACTGAAACCACGACACTATTGTGTTGGAGATGTTGTTGAAATAACTGGTTGTTGCAGCTGCTGTAGTTGTGGTGGTTGTTATCACGACGCTGTTGTGTTGGAGTTGTTGTTGACTCCGCTATTACTACCTGCTACCAATTACCACTTTATACCTATAAACGACGTTCCAGTTAGACTTGTGACTGCCAACGTCCTACCGCCAAACCTACTACCAAACGTTTTTTACTCCAAATTAAACCAATAATTACTAAAATGCAAAATTCTATCGTCTACTATCAACCAAGAGTTAAACTACGGCGTTCTCACTCAATAATTCTCCTATTATCGCTTTATATATTTTTTTTCTTTCCGCAATGCGGCAACCCCGTTAAGATAAAATCATGAGGCGCCGCATGCTAAACCTCAACCTGTGACATACCTCTCACCACACTTTGAATATTCCTTGGGGTGAAGGAATATTCACTCCTGAATACATTACCTCTTCATCTCCAGCGATCTGTCAGCTAGACGTGTGAGGAAATCTGCCACGTTTTTGCTACCCGCTCGATATTTGATCTGTATATCGAATTCTTGTAGTGCCAAACTCCACCTCATCAATTTAGAACTTTTTGGCACCACATCTGTCAAGTAGGTTAGGGGGTTATGGTCTGTATATATGTGGACCTTTGACATGCAAATCCAACCCCTAAATTTTTGTAAGGCCCATATTATAGCATAGGCCTCCTTCTCGATGGTAGCCCAGCGCTGTTGTGTCTCAGATAACTTCTTACTGGCGAAAGTAATGGGTCGTTCATTCCCTCGTTCATCAGGTTGTGCCAAGCAGCATGCCACCGTATGATTGCTAGCATCGGTGATTAAACAAAAGGGTTGTGTATAATCAATCGTATATAGACCTCCCACCTCCTGTAGCTGTTGTATTGCCATATCCAAGCTTCTTTGATGAGCCTCCAACCAATGTATCCTATTACCACCTTTCCCCTTGGTTAACTCGGTGATACTATATAGCGTCCCAGCAAGGTTGGGGATGAAATTTTGGAAGTAGTTGAAGAAACCCACGATTTTCCGTACTTCCTTCTTGGTCGTGGGAGTGCGTATCTCTTGTAATCTTTGCAGCTTCAACGGATCGACGTA